TGTGTTTTAGATGTTCATTATCTGAGTTATACTGTATTATTGAGAGGAACAAACTGTGGATGTAATCGTTTTGATCAAACTTTGCTTCTTATACACATTGCTTGTATATAGCCCAGGGGTTTTCAAACATTTTGATGGACCCTCTTCCTAAAAAATAAAGGCAGCTATTTTGTCATGTTTAAAGACCTGTTTAAATTGAGTGAAAAAATATTTTAAGCAATGTTGTTTTCTGAATTAAATAATTGGCTTTTAATTTGAATATTAAAAGTAAATCAATTATTAAAATATTATGTGGAAATATTTGTAAAGTTTTCTACCTACCTATATTTAGATGTATGAAATTAATAACAATAAATATTTTCAATTCAATTCAGATTTATTTGTAAAGCACTTTTTTATATTTTGTGTTAAAAAATATTTTAGTTAGTTAAACATATTTGATACATAAGTTAACTTTGACAGCCCTAAAAAAAATATTTAGTAAAATAGTTTTCTTTTACAGTTTCTTTGTGTATAATTCCTCAAATTTTCAACAGAACCCTTTGCGGGCCGCAAGCCTTAGGGGCCCTAACCAGTTTGAAAACCCCTGTATTAGCCAATAACTTGCTGCTTCTCTATAATTTAATATGATATAACAATGGTCTAGATGTGATGTATTTAGAAAGGAATAATTTTATTAATATACTGTAGTTGAGGCAATAATCAATGAACAACATTCATTTCAAATTTGTACAAATTTTTTTATTTACATGCTTTTGTCTGTTTATGAAACAGTATATCCACACATTACACAACATATCTTTAGTAAAATGAAGAAAGGCATTATTTTCTGTCTTTCACTTCAATGGATTGCGCAGTACATAATATAAAGTTCTTTTTGAAAACTGTACAAACAACAATATTGTTCTACAAAAGTTACAAGTCACAATGTACAATCCAAATATAAGAGTGGTTATTTACATTACAGTTGTATTTCTGATAGGACTGGAGGTGTGTTTAATTGAGAGTGTGTACGATGTCTTGTAACAGGGCTGTGAGTCTAGTGGAGAAATCCTCCTGTATGGACTCTATGTTTGTCTGATGGAAACCAGATGACTCACCATGACTCTGGTTTTCTTGGAGAGCTATCATCTGTAGGTCTAAGTTAGAAATAAACTGTTGATTCCGAGCTGAGGAATTCTGGCAGAACTGATCCACTTTTGATGCCATCACATCCCTTGGAGGCTGTGCTGAGGCAAGATGGCCTGCCAAAGCTATCTTCAGTGCTGCCACCTTCCCTTGTACCTCTAAACTGAAGGTACACAATTCCTGTCCCAGTCTGGCAGTGACTTCCTCCCAAAGTTCCTTTCCACTGCTGTCTCTTTCCTCCTCTACCGCCTCAAATGCTTTTGTTTTAAAGTCCTCAAAGGCTGCTGTCCTTTTCTGGTGGCTTTCATCCAGAGCTTGTGTGATCCTCTGCACTGCCTCCTGGTAGAGTGTGGCTTCCTCTGGGTTCAGTTCCTGGAGGTTCAGATTGAGCTTCTCACAGAGTTCCTGAGTATTTGACTGGAGGGCGGTCTGGAGCTGCTTAGTGAAGGGGGCCAGGAACTCCTTGACACTGGCCATGGTGTGTTTTGGGTGGCTGGGGTAAGGAGAGAGTCTCTCCCTCAACTCAGCAAGCTCCTGCTTTAGACGAGCCCTCAGCCGCTCAGACTCCATGCTCAGCTTGCGTCTCAGTTCAGCTGCCATGGGGTTGTAAGAGTCCTGGGAGTAAAGGTCACTGCTCACCACATGGTTCTTCCACATACCACTGCAAAACAGTATCAGGGGTCAATGACTTACAAGAGCCTTCATGATAAAGAACTCTTTGTACTCATGTTAATAAAATAAAAAAACATATTCAAGAAAAACTCTGTGGTATAACCATCAAGTAAAATATAAATAATATTTTCCTTACACCTTAAAAACATATGAGAGTACACATCTTAATAATTACTTTGAAAATTGTTTTTTTGTGTTGTTATGTTTCAATGTAAAAAGCATTTTTTATATAATAATTCATAAATATCATTAGTACGTTTTTGGGGAGTATGTGACATGACATGAAAACGATATTTTCTATGAAATAATAATTTTTATTAAGGCTTTTTTAAATTTTAGACCAGGCTTTTTGACTATATGTCCCTGCCCCAAATTCTGTTTTTAATAAATGAAAGTAAACAAAATATCTTATGAGAGTAAACTTACTTTGAGTCTTTGCCAACATTTTTCTTGTCAGTGGCCTGATTGTCTCTCGGTAAACTAAATGCTTCTCGACTGATCTCATCATTGAGTGGAAATGCTGAAAAGGAGGATAGTTGCATTAGATCAATGTAATAAAAGATCAAAATAACCGTTTTAGATTAAATTGAATTTGATAATAGAAATTGGAGAGGCAACAAACCTGTTGTGGTAGCAAAGGCCAGAGCCAATGTAACAAACTGCAGATTCATTTTCTTTTCTTTTTTTTTTTTTACTGATGAAGGTTATTCTCTGTAAAAAAAAAAAAAAAAGATACAAAGATTTATGCAATCAGATACATTTAAATGTTATTAGCTATCAATATATTAAACAGGACAACTCAAACGCCATTAAGTAATTAATCTATGCAAGTGGACATCTGGCCCTTACCTGTTGAAGACAAAAAATGAGAAATTCTTCCACTGAGTCCACATTTAAAGCAGTTCCTTATCAGATGTTGTCGTGCTTTTCACCTGTGTCAACACAAACCACGTAGAGGGTCAGTTTGATAACGATGGGCGTCAGGAACATATAGGTATTTTGCTGATCGCCTCTTCAAAGCTACTCTTTTCCAACAACGCAGATTCAGAGTAGCCACTGTGATGTCACACCAAGGCCAATTTTGACGTCATTTTCGATGTCAATACTGGGATATGTTTACTACTAACCAGAAGTGTTTGGACAGCTCTTACTTAGTGAACAGGGTTGAACTTCGATAAATGACCTCTATTTAAATTACAAAAGCGCATTTTAACATTACGATATGGACTTCATACTTGATACTCTGTCCCAGGACTTATGTTGCCTGTGAAGTTCACTCAGTGAACCGAACTGCATGAAATTTGGCTTAGTTTTATCAGTCGTGTTGAGTCCTACTTGGCTTTCCAACAGAAATGACATAAGTCACAGAGAATGAGCCCTCCAGCCTGTGCTTGCTTCATTATCTCTGACTCTGTGAACAAAGGTGCTGTTTGTTTTTACTTTACTGAATGGATCCTCTTAGATTTGCTTTGAGTCTACATGGCCAAAGCTAGTGATAAACAAAGCCAATAGCGGGATACTTTGAACATTTGATTATTTCAGTTTAGACCTGGCCTACTTTCTGGCAGCTGCATGTATAAGCGAGTATTAGACTTGCAAAGGGAATTGTGCCATAAAAATATGCACCATTTTAGTTACCAAATATGCTATTTTGTTCCGGGTAATGTGTTGCTGTTGTGCAAATCTCATAGCACTAACGTTACATCATTGTAACTTGCCCCATTGATTTTACACCAGTGCAGTCTGAGCAATAACATGATTTAACAAGAGATGTTATATAATCGTTCAATTCTGGTGACTTTGGGAGCAGCATTTTTACATTTTGTTGACTATTATTGGCATTTGAGTTACCTAGTCAACTAACATATAATTGTATATATAACTTAATATAACTTTACTTAATATAAATATTATACTTCACTGACCGCAAAATAAACGGAAACTAAACAGAACAGGCTTTCTACACTTTGCAGAACTGGATCTAACTTAGGCCTACTGCATTAATTCACAAATTTAGCAACCACTGGCGTCGAAAAGGCATTGCATTTTAAAGGTAATTACATTGTTTGTTTAAACGGACCATTGATAAATATCCAGTAAGCTTTTGTTGTCTGTGTTCTAATGTTGGCTTTGAGCGATTCAGTTCGTGAGTGAACTGTTCGAATGCCGTATTCATTGAAAATTAATAGAGCCGACTCTGGGCGATTCATTAATTCGCGCTTCAGTTCAGAATTCATGCTGTAAAATTAGCCTACCAGGTAAAATGCTTCTCGGGCAATCCATTCTCAGACAATGATTTACCACAGCAGTATTTTATCGTGTCTCGAGCCCCAGGAAAAAAAGCCTAGCGAGTCGTAGCGACTAGCGACGCTTTTTTTTTTTTTTTTACAAATGCGTCACTACTGAATAGATCTCTAAAGACGGTCAGACACAGTAGTTATAAGAGTTCAGTTCTAATGAAGGAATTGCAGGACAACTCTCCATGTTTGGAAACATGATATTGCAAGGTGTCTTACGGATAAGAGTAAATGTGCAATAAAAAATTTGCAAAAGGGTGTTTTGTGGACTTGGGTATCAGTTAGGTTAGGCCTACTAAATAAATGTAATTCAAATGTCTTTATTAGTATATTAGTTTTTATCAGACATTTTGCATTATTGCAACACTAAAACTACTTTGTCATTTGAGTTCATACTTACGTAGGCCTAAAAGTGTGTGAAATGTCAAAATATAAGTCACCATGAGGTCAAAGTCCACACAAACTCTGCTAAGTAGCCTAATTCAGGGTCCAAGTTCATTGATTTTGAAGCACTATAAAAAAATCTGAGGTCATTATAGCATGTGTGTAATGTGTACAGATTCATGCTTTTAAAATTTTATAAAGTTTTATGACCCGTTTACATAATATTATATTTTATTCAGTTGCACAGTTCAAAGATTGTAACAATTTTAGCTTATGTAAGCGTTTTGTGTTAATTCACCCTTGTGTAGTGATTTAGGGCTCTGGATCCTGCAGATTCAACTTTAACCCAGATAAAGCAATTGGTTTACTAGGCTGACCATGACCTTCTCGCCTATGGGGTGCATCAAAGGAATGAAGCCAAGGGATGTGAAAAACAAGGTTTGTTGTTTTAGTGACCCTTTGCTTGTTTGAATACAGAGTGCCTGCAATGTTCACTTCTCCTGCCAAACTATTTGAGAAAGTGTACACTAGTAGAAACTGTCTGATGGGACTTGGATTTTTCTCATAAACCTGCAACTTGTGAATGATTGCTGAAAGACATTTAAAGCACAGCCAAAATTAATCAGTTTCATGGTTTCACTGTGGCCTGGCCTGTAATCTAAACTGGCAGCATCAGGTTGCATCTTTCTACCTATTGGCATGTGTGATACTTTATCTCTAGACGGTTCATGAATCATTCAGCATGGCAGGGAAAGAGCTTCCTGTATGCCTTCAGGCTGTCTCTGAGCCCTGGACAGCATAATGAAATGATGTGCTCTTTCAGGGTTTGCCTCTGCTGGCCTTCCCTACTTTGCTGGTTCTTCACCCTAAGACTGAGCCCTGCTGATGGATCAAACATTACTCTAAGACTTCCTGAAAGATCTTCCTGCAAACCAGGTAACTTGCACTTTTCTGGGACATGACGAGGTGAAAGTTCATCAAGTGGGTGTCTAGTCCCAGAGGTTATTTATTTATTTTAATGAACATTACATTAACTGTCTTAAATTCTTTACCATGCTTTGATCAACGTGTTTTGGCTACTTTTTAAATACCATTTATGTATATGTTTTATTATTATTATTAATATTTTATCCTTGTTCTAAACCCAATCTTTCAATGTTAAACTGTAAAAATGCATTGTAAAAATTATTACTGAAATTACGATGATATAAAAATAGTGAAATAATTATAAACCATTTCAATATTTATTGTTAAAATTATGCAAAAAATGTCCCACCTCAATTGTGGCTTTATTTCCACCATAAATGCATTTTTCCCTAAAATGGGTTATAAAAAAAGTTTGTTTACTTGTTCACCAAGATGAAATATTAGATATGTACTGTATGAAGAAAATCAAGGTAAATATCACCTTTTAACAGAATATTTATTATGGTAAGCCATTTCCAACCAGGCTGTAATTATGTGAAATTATGGAAAAAGTGTACAAATATTATTTTATTTTGTATTTATACAGTACTAGTTATGAAATTAATCAAGACAAAAAAGTGCTTTTATCCCAAATTATTTTACATGTTATTCCACCACGGTAGACAATGTCAGAAGACAAATTAAACTAGTTGGAGTGCAAAATGTGTTTAAAAAAACTCATTGTCTAGAAGTCCACTGGGTCCAATTTACATAGTTGAAGAAAACCTTAAATATGAAATGTAGGAGTATTGGTTGGAGAACCTTCTACTTTTATGCACTGTGAAGGCTTTTACTGCCCGGAGGGAGATGAGGGTCCAGTTCCCTGTCCCAAAGGAACATTTGGACCGAGTTTCTGGGCCACAACCATAAACAGCTGTATCAGCTGCCCACCACATCACTATGGACCTAGAGAAGGCATGAGCAGTTGCCAGCCTTGTGGGCCATGGTCACAGCAGCCTCTGCCTGGACATGACAGCTGTACTTGTCAGCGAGAGGGTCAAATCTTCCAGGTAAGAACTTATTGCATTGTTTACATAAGTTCCCAAGCATTTCTAGCTAATTGCATCCATGTAGAAAACAATCTGCAGACCTCTGCTCAGACAGAAGCTCATGTTTCAGCCCAGTGGGAATCTAGTTACCACTCTCACTGACTGTTGAATGATCTTTTCATCAGTTACTACCCTAGGGAAATGAGTCAGGATTTGTTGTCTCTAACGGCTGACATCTTCCCAATCCTGAATGTAGGCCAGTGACGGACAGTGTCCTTGTAGTTTAGGATACACACAGAAAGGAGAAGCCTGTGTGTTGAAGGTCTATGAGATCTGCAAGGATGGAAGAACACGTAACCAGCATGGAGAATGTCTGGACCACAAGCAATGGAAGCAGTATTGCTCACAGCAGGTGAGCGTCCACATAAACTGAGAAATTTGTACTACAATCATGCTGTTTGCACAAAGATGATGACATACATGCTTATTCGGTCAATAGCATTGAAAATTTTATGAATGGTGCGTGACGACATTCTTATTTTGCTCATGAAGGCCATCCAATATGGGATGTTTTCTTAGTGTTGAATGGTTGACCAGTTGCCTCTAAAGTATAAAATACCTTTCTCCGTGAACTCTTACTATGCACATAAGGGGCCTCACATGTACTGTACCTCTGAACGTGACATGTGACTCACCCTTGGACTCTTGCAGCCCAATGACCCCGTTGATCAGTAGGTCAAATTTTGTACCTGCTTGCAGGTGTGTCCATCTCCTGAGCTGTATGAGGGCTATGATGGGTCTCTGGGCCTGTGTGTGTGCAGAGGTCTGTCCAGGCCTGAGCCAGACAGGGTTGAGTGTGTGGGCTGGTGCCGGAACATCCCGAGTCCAGTTCTGCAGCTGGTTTGCACTGGAAGCCTTTACCTGCTCTACACAGAGTCTAATCAACAGGTCAGGTCATCTACATCATGATTTGGTGTAAGGAGGCCCAAAACATGATAGTAGTGTCTAGTCTTGGGGCTAAAAGGCCTGTTCACACCAATGACTATAACTACAACGATAAAGATAGTTCTAAAAATCATTCTAAATATAAAAGAATATCCACACCACAACTATAAGGATATCGCACAGAGAAACAATATAGTTGGAATCACTTTCAGAATGATTTTTTGCAGCTGATGACTGATAAAAACATTGAAAGCCAATCAGAATCCATCCCGCTGTAACAAGCTTGAGCATTTAAAGTGACAGACGACCAAACTGCAGTGCACGCATATCGCCCGTTGTTGTGGATGCTAATATAGTTATCGTTAGTTCCCTATCAGTCGGTCACTCTCGACGTAAGTCGTTACCGACGAATAGGAATCTCGCTAGAGAGGCCAATCTACTTCGAGTGAAACTAAACGAGCCAATCCTGCCCCGTGGAACCAGGTAAGTGTTGCAAAGCACACTCAGACCCCGTTATGGGCTTCCTCCCAGAGAGAGACTCCCGAGCCGCGTCCCTGCGTTCCACCTCGCGGGTACTGCGGGTACGCCTATGGTCCCTCTGGTCCCGCTTGTACGGTCTCTGCGAGCCTGGTTAGCACTCCCCAGTCCGTCTCCCTGGCTCATTCGGACCATAAGGCTTGGCTATGCGATTCAGTTCACCTGGCGTCCCCCCAAGTTTCGGGCCATCCACTCCACTACAGTGAGAGCAGCCGATGTCTTGCGGGCAGAGGTCGCAGTCCTACTGGCGAAGGTCGCGATAGAGTTCGAGGGTCGAGCACATCAGTACAAGGTCCTGCCCTTCGGGCTGTCCCTGTCTCCCCGTGTCTTCACGAAAGTCACGGAGGGGGCCCTTGTTCCCATGAGAGAACAGGGCGTTCGCATACTCAACTATTTTGATGACTGACTCATACTAGCACACTCTCGAGATCAGTTATGCGAACACAGGGACCTCGTGCTCAGGCACCTCAGCCAGTTGGGTCTTCATGTCAACTAGGAAAAGAGCAAACTCTCCCCTGTGCAGAGGATCTCTTTTCTCGGTATGAAGTTGGATTCGGTCGCACAGACAGCACACCTCACAGAGGAAAGCGCTCAGTCGGTGCTGAACTGCTTGAACACGTTCAAAGGGAGGACGGCGGTCCCACTGAAATATTTTCAGAGGCTCCTTGTTCCTTGGAACAGGTGTCCAGGCATGCTGTGGTGTTCACAGATGCCTCTGCCACCGGCTGAGGTGCCACGTACAACGGGCATGCAGTGTCAGGGGTGTTGACGGGCCCCCAACTGCATTGGCACATCAACTGCCTCTAGTTGCTAGCAGTACGTCTCGCTCTGAGCCGGTTAAAAAGGCCGCTACTGGGCAGGGACGTACTGATCCGTAGCGACAACACTGTGACCGTTGCTTACATCAAACGACAAGGTGGTCTACGCTCCCGTCGCATGTCGCAACTCGCCCGCCATCTCCTCCTCTGGAGTCAGAAGCATCTGAGGCCACTTCACGCCATGTATGTCCCCGGTCTGTTCAACCGCGTCGCCGACGTGCTATCACAAGCTGTGCTCCCAGGAGAATGGGTACTCCACCCCCAGGCGGTTCAGCTGATCTGGAGAGAGTTCGGGGAGGCTCAGGTAGACCTGTTTGCCTCCTCAGAGACCTCCCATTGCCAGCTGTTTTACTCCCTGACTGAGGGAACACTTGGCACGGACGCACTGGCACACAGCTGGCCCCAGGGCCTCCGCAAATATGTGTTTCCCCCAGTGAGCCTACTTACACAGACCCTGTGCAAAGTCAGGGAGGACGAGGAGCAGATCCTTCTGGTGGCTCCCTATCCCGGACTTGGTTCCCAGAACTCATGCTCCTCGTGACAGTCCCTCCCTGGCCCATTCCTCTGAGGAAGGACCTTCTGACTCAGAGACGGGGCACCTTATGGCACCCGCGTCCGGACCTCTGGAAACTCCATGTGTGGTGAACCTGCTAGCGCTACCCCTGGAGGAGGCAGACCCAGCCCTGGCTTTGCTCCGTCCCATCCGCACTCTGCGTCTGTACGTGGACAGAACTCAAAGTCTCAGGACCTTAGACCAGCCCTTTGTCTGTTACAGAGGCCAGCAGAAGGGAAAGGCTGTCTGCAAGCAGAGAATGGCCCACTGGATAGTGGATGCCATCGCCTTGGCTTACCAAGTACAAGGCGTGCCCTGCCCGCTCAGGTTGCATGCTCACCCCACGAGAGGCGTTGCATCCTCCTGGGCGCTGACACATGGCTCCTCGCTAACAGATATCTGTAGAGCTGCGGGCTGGGCGACACCTAACACGTTCGCTAGATATTATAGCCTACGTGTAGAGCTGGTCTCCTCCCGTGTTCTCACCCTAAACGGGTAGAAGCACTGAGAGGCCCGGCTCTGTCGGCTTGCTGCACCCTACTGTGCACCCTTATTGCTCCAGAGTGAAAAACCTGTTGAGTCCTCCAACACCCTCGGCCCGGACGTAGCGGAGCGTCCGGGGCCAGGCCTTTATCCGTTGAATCCTTGAGAACCGGGTCTAGGCTGGGTCCCATATGTGTGACCCTGCGGGGATCCCATATGTGTATTTCTTCCATGGCTGCTCCTAAACGGAAGCCCGTGTCTTTGCCTTGGGCTAAGTCACCCAGTATTTCATATGCAGTACAACCTTCGGGTTAGTCCATTATGTACATCTCCGCATAACTCATTCGGGGAAGAATGTGGGTTCCGCAGCGTTCTCCTTCCTAACAGAAAGGGCACGCTTTCCTAGTGTTATCCAATAATCTCACTGTATGGGTTATCACGGAACAACAGTGACAGATACACTCTGTGTAAGCCCTCTCCTATCGTCCTTCCAGGCAAGAAGGGGCAAGAGGCTCGCACAGGGCGCTGGATGGGGTTACGTATGGTAACCCTCGTTCCCTGAAGGAGGGAACGGATACGTTCGTCCCGTCGCCAAATCTGCTGCGACCCGCCCGGCCAGCCAGCTCATCGGCTCGGCTCCTCAGTAAAAAAACACCTGCTGCTCATTATATACCCGCGCTGCGTGGCTGAACAGTTGATGCAAATGATTGCACGCCAATATGCATTGGCTTGATTAGTTTCACTCGAAGTAGATTGGCCTCTCTAGCGAGATTCCTATTCGTCGGTCACGACGTACGTATCCGTTCCCTCCTTTAGGGAACGAGAGTTACCATACGTAACCGAGATGTTATCGTTAGTTATCTTTATAGTTATCGTTCTTGGTGGGAACGAACACATTACAAGCAATATGCAAAATTATTTTTTTCAAAAAGAAAAACCGCATGTATCCATAATATCTTTATTTACTGACAAATACAACTGAAAAGCTCTCCCTTTTTCATGTTACAAGAAATATGGGTTTATTTAAGGTGCATGCATTTAAGTACTGTTAAAAATACAGCAAAGTAAAATTGTTTTGTTAAAATTGTAAAATTGAGTGGTTGTTTAATGTAATTGTTTTTTCAGTATAAAAACAAATTTGGCGCATAAATAGCCTATATTTATATGTAGAATTTTTATAATTTTATGCAAACTGTGCAGTTATTTTATTTTTATTTTATATACAATTATGTATTTATTACAAATTTTGATATTTTATTAAAAAAACTTTCACGTTTTTGTCTTTTTTTAATTATTTTTTAGTGTTTTTTAAACATATTTCTATTTAGCTTTATTTTTTATTTTTTATTTCCATTTTAGTTTTAGTATTTTATTACCAATATTTTTCCAGTTAATTTTTCATCTAATATTTACATATTATTTCAAATGAAAACGATTTTGAATAATTTAATTTATTGTGATGTTTATCCAAGTTAAACAGCTTCTTGAACAAGAACAAATGTAGGGCGGGACTTGATTTTGTCCTTCAGAAATTGATTGGATTGTAGAAAGTTGGACGTTGCTAACTAAATGGAGGCAGATCTGAATGCCAGTTTGCAGTTAGTTGTGGAAAATATTTAGTCCCACTCTCCGCCGCGTCATGCGTCATGAAGAGAGCATTCACCGCTTCGAGAGGGAGGGGATGTTAACGCTTTTGATGAAAGATTATGATTTCAGATTAATTTTTAAAACAACAATGTTGTGCATTGATAAATCATTTATAATAAACACTACACATTCTGTAAAAATTAAGAATTGCTCATTTTGATTTCATGGTGACTTTTACAACACTGCTGTGTCTGGGTATAAACATATGCAAAAAAACAAAACAAAAAAAAAGTTGAGCAAAAAGTTACTTAATACATTGCTTCTCATAAAAAGTAACAATAATTAAGTAACATAATTTAAAGGTGCAGTGTGTATTTTTATCGACATCTAGTGGTTCGGTTGAGTTGCACTAAGGGCTCAGCCCACTGCTCACCCCTCCCTTTCGAAGAAGCTACTGTGGCTAAAACGGGACAAAGATATCGTCGTCTGAGGCCCCGTCCACACTACTTCGTTTTCGTTTAAAAACGGAGACCTTTTGCTACGTTTGCACCTCCCGTCCACACTAAAACAGCAAAAACGGAGACCCAAAACGGAGAAGTTTAGAAACGCTGCCGATCCGTTTTTCGTTTTGAATCTCCGGAGGGCGTTTTAGTGAAGACGGGTCAAAATGGAGGACTTTAGAAACGATGACGTAGTAGAGGCTCACGCTCGGCTCGATGATTGGGTGTCATCAGTCATGGCGTATATCTTTGCTAGCAGCTGTTGTACAAGTAAATTCTGCATTTTACAACGCTATAACTGCCTACATGCGCCGGAGTCAAGCTATTATTCGAGCGATCTGTGATTAATTCCCGTGTGCAGCGGCGGCGTTGACCGTACATGGAGCGTCGGTTTGGGGTTAACCCAGAGCATGGTGGGATAATTTTATCAATGAAGTTGTGTTTACACCGGCACGCGCATGCCCAGTGTTGGTGAATGGTCACGTGATCCGCGTTTTCAGTCGTTTTAATGTGGACGGAGATCAATTCTAATACGCAGCTAAAACGCTGGTGTGGACGGAGATCATATTCGTTTTAATTATCCGTTTCTAAACTAAAACGCAGTAGTGTGGATGGGGCCTGAGACAGCAGAGAATAGCCAGAGTAAGCCAAGAGTGTGTAATATTGTCACTGTTTCTGCACCACAGTCCATTATAAACCACATCATGGATTAAGTTTACAAAGCCATAGTCAGGTGAGGATCAAGGGTCTTAATATATAATATAATAATAGTAATCAGCTGATTGTCTCACAAACGTAACCAGCACATTTCTCCCCACATAGCAAACTATACCGAGGGAGAAGAACCACATGAAACTATGCAACTATATATTTTTTTCTAACAGGGTAGTAAAAGTTTAGTTGGCTAAATATGAGCTGTTACTGTGGCTGAGCTGGTTAAATCGTGAAGTCTTGTTTATACTCGACGCGTCTGCATGAGCCCAAAGGTGCGCGCGGCAAAAGTGACATGATTGTGACGGTACTGATCCACTTGTCCGTGCAACACTTCAGTCGCGCCGCGCTCCGCTTTAAGGCCAATTTATACTTCTGCGTCGGGTGCGCGCAGTAGGTACGGCGTAGCATACGCACAGACGCGTACCATTCGCCGTACCCTTCGCCGTAACCTGACGCGCACCTCCTCAAAAATGTAACTACACGTCGCGACGACGCGGACCGCAAGATCTGTGATTGGTCGGCTTGTAGCATCGCGTTTCCTCCTATGCATTTCCGGCGTGTTCTTCTGCACCGCCCGCCATTTTTAAATTCTAAGTACAGCGAAACTGTTAAAAAAACTAAAAATTTACCTTTTCCACCTCGATAAGCTCCAACTCCAACATGATCTGCTCTCTTTCAGTCGCCATTGCTTGTAGTAACCTAAACTCAAAACAGCCGTGAGGAATCTTCTTCTTGCCGCGAGGAATCTAAACACAGTGGAACATTAAAACCCTCCGCCGCCAACTAGCGTTTCGGCGCTGTACTGCAGAGCAACGCAGACCTAAACGCAGAAGTATAAATGCTCATGACGGCGTCGCCTACGTGCGTAGCCTACGCCGTACACTACGGCGTACACTCGACGCAGAAGTATAAATTGGCCTTTATTCCTATGGGTGACATCACGCGACTTTAACGCGCCCGCAAAGCATCCCGGGAAGGCAGCGCTTCATTTGAAAAAATGCTGCGCGTCCAAAAGCTGGCTGATGCCCAGCTTTATGCAAATGAATCCGTCAAACGCGAAGCGTCTATCCAATAGAAGCAGAGCATATGTAGACGGGGGGAAGTCTCTCGCAGGTCCTCTGTTCTAGACTGGCCGCTGGCTCAAAACCACGCCCATAGCGGTAAACACGAGGAACGCCCATCAAAGTACAAATGTGGGGAGGCGTCGCGACACCACGCTTCAGTCGTGTCGCACAAGTGGATCAGTCCCGCCGCACTCCACTTTATTCCTATGGGTGACGTCACGCGACTATAACGCGCCCGCAAAGCATCCCGGGAAGGCGGCGCTTCATTTGGAAAAATGCTGCGCGTCAAAAAGCTGGCCGATGCCCAGCTTTATGCAAATGAATCCGTCAAACGCGACGCGTCTATCCAATAGAAGTAGTCTCTCGAGGGGCCTTTGTTCTAGACTGGCCGCTGGGTCAAAACCACGCCCATAGCGGTAAACTTGAGGAACGCGCATCAACTTACAAATGTGGAGAGGGTGCGACACCATGCTTCAGTCGTGTCGCAAAAGTGGATCAGGAGCGCGCGCGCCTCCGCATCCCCTAGACACCATTTACTACACACAATAGGCATTTTTTCTCTGATTTTGAAAACTCTTCGCGATCGACTTAAAATGCTTCCAAGATCGACTTGTCGACCGCGATCGACGGGTTGGTGATTCCTGTAACATACTGTTTTACGGTCAATGACAAGAGTACAAATCAGCTGTCTCACGAACGTAACCAGCTCATTTATCCCCACATAGCAAAGCCATAACACAGCGAGGGAGAAGAACTAAGTTACATGAAACAATACAACTACATATTTTACACCACTGACAAGGGAAAAGTGAAAGTCACTACTCACTTTGGCTAGCTTCTAGCTTTCTGCTGCTTCTCTTTCAAGGTAGTGACGAAACGCGCTCTGTAGGGCTGTTTGTTCGCTGTCGGCTACGGTAGAAACATGACGTCACAATATGTCAACCTTCATAGGGGGTGACCGCGGTTATGTAGATATAAATGTCTCATTCTAAGGTAATAAAAAAAACATTACGGTTTATTAAGTAAGTTCTTTATACACCACTGAACACATAGTTATGGATGTCATATTGCATTTCTGTTAATAGATACTCGAAATTTTTACATATGGCACCTTTAAAATATAAATGTCATAATTATTACTAATAAAAAAAATATTGTAAATATTTCGATTTTTTTTTTATAAAGAGTAACATAATGGAAACACCAAATGTACTGTCACAGTATAATATGACTGTGTATAGATCCTCAACAACAAGCGAAAAGTTGATCTAGTTCTTTTAGTATCATAATTCATAGGATGATTAACAGCAAAAAAGGAAGGAAACACTGGATAACTTTAACAAAGTACACAATGTGAGGGACTTGCACAGGACATTGAGAGTGTAATACAGCCCTAAATACACAAGTGAGAGCTCAGCACAAACAGCGGTAAGATAACACTCTGACCTATTTGCCATTAAACTATCCTTGTGTTTTCTTAAAAGGTGAGCATGTCGGGAAGCATGCTGGAGACCGTCCTGAAGCACTGGGACTCCAGTGGGAGCTTGGAATGCAACGTACAGCTCAATTTCTCCAGGCCTGTGTACACGGTGCAAACAGGGGGTGAGTGGCCAGAGACAAGGGCAGGAAGTACAGAGGGTTTCATGACCACGGTTTATCAGCAGCCTGCTGTTTGTTTGCTGTGGTACAGAGGCGGGCTTCTTTGGTCTGCTCAATGCTGTCCCCATCGAGGTCCGGAGGTTGATTCTGGCCCACAGCCAGGAAACCAACAGCCATTTTGAGCCACTAGATACAGACAGAGGTATCTAATACATCAATATGTATATACTGTATATATTCCAGGCAGATACCGTATTGGACATCTAATGAGATTTGTTTTGTTAGGAAACATCAAAGACAAAGAGGAAGATTGGGACTCTCACTGGTCCAGCAAATCATCAGCGTTCGGTACATCCGACATGCGGCCTGGAGGAGTCTTGAACCCAACAGCATGTCTACATCCTGGGGATATTCTTCTCTTTACTGTGACCCAGCAGCACTACCCTCAGTATGATGTGTAAGTACATGCTGACATGTGATTCATGTGCTGCCCATTCATTTTCACTGTCCCAGATTGTCACAGAGGGAATCTTGCTTTTTTCACAGAGACAGCTTGTACAACACTAATGCTGCGTTTGACTGGGGACCCTTCAGATTACTGGCACAGGACCAAGAACTGGCAAGATCTGCACACTCCCTTTTCTCCATAAGTCTCCATGAGCCTGGGGTGTACGCCTTCAAACTCAGCAGCCACCAACATAGGCACATGGTATTGTGATCTGTTTTTATGTTGTGGCCGATAACCACTAAATATCCTATAATTCTATACTATTCACTCTAAATAACTTTAAAAAATAAAATACTAAAATCAATTGTTTTAAATGCTACAAGTGAAATAGGTATCACAATTTGCTTGGGCTAATTTCAAAGTTCATTTTATGTACATAAATAAAATACAGTAAAACTGTAATATTTTTGAAAATGTATTACAATTGTTTTCTATGTTAGTATATTTTAAAATATAATTTATTGCTTTGATGGCAAATCTGAATTTTCAGCAGCCATTACTCCAGTCTTCAGTGTCACATACATAATCCTCCTGAAATCATTCATTCTAATATGCTGATATGGTACTCATGAAACATATAAAAAATATTATTGCTAAGATAATACACTCAGCTGAAAATTGCATTTTTAAGTTCACTTATCCGTTCAAAAAATGTGATGACGTCATATATTTTCATACTGCCTGAGGTGCTGCTTTACGGCAATTCACTTCAGCACTTATATAACGATATGAAAATAAAAGTGCCCGCAGGAAAATATAAATACAGTACACAAAAATGAACGTCGACAGAAAGTCCTCCTTAAGATAATGTTTCTGATTCTGCTTTAGCTTCAGGTGCCATCAAACGGGGTCTCTGGTCGTAGTCAGTCGCAAATCCGTCTAGCACAGGAGTCACCAACCCGTCGATCGCGAAGCGATCACAAAAGCGATCTTCTTGGAAGCATTTTAAGTCGATCGCGAAGAGTTTTCAAAATCAGAGAAAAAACACCAATATTTGTATTCATTATTATTTATTACTTAAAAATGCACCATGTGTGAGCCTACTGTGTGTAGTAAATGGTGTCTAGGGGATCCAGAGGCGCGCGCGCCGTTACAATGACGTCATTTTGGGCTCATGCGGACGCGTCGAGTATAAACAAGGCTTCACGCTTTAACCAGCTCAGCCACTTCACACTACGCTCACATCAAGCTCTTCAAGCTAACGATACGCAAGCTAACGAAACGATGGCACAACGGTGAGGGAGTAGGCTATTGCTAGTTTGAAATCTGCAGGGGTTTTCCTGCATAAACAATTATGAGGCGGCCACCTCCGTCAAATTTATAGTTAAGAAACAATATAACGTTATAGACTACACACGACCAGAGTGCTGTTTTCCTGAATGCAAGCACGATTGAAACCAAGATATTGATTTCACAACAGTTCAATAAACAAATAGCCTAGTTAAAATTAAGTTACTTACATTTTTAGACGCAATTACTGTTTTTGTTCTGTTTCAGCAGCGAAAATAGTTCCAAACAACAGAACCAGCGCATCTCACAGCAACACTCATCCATTATTCATCAATCATCACTGAATGATTCAGCGTTTTGACCTAATCGCTCGAGTCAAAGATTCAATTAACGTTACCCATTATTAAACCGCCTCATTCTGAATCAATCAGCCGTTTGAACGAATCGTTTGAATGAATGACTCAATGACTCGCTCATTAAGACGGCCGCCTGCCACTTCTACTGGCGGTTTAGTTTCAAAGTATCATTCTTTTCAGCATTCCTTATTTGTATATTCAAAAAATATTCAAAACAATCTCATAATCTCATTTAATACAGTTATAATTTTTCAATGTAAATTATTTAATTTGATTGGTAACAGCCTTGTCTTATTATTTTAATTGAATGTATTGATAAAATGTAAGAATTTGAAATGAAATTTAGAGCATACCAGTACATTAAATAAAATTAGGGGGAAAATGCCCTTTATAAAGGTACAAAAAATTATTCCGATAAGAGTGTTTTCAAAAATGAAACATTGACAATTTAAGTTTAAAGGGATAGGCTAAAGCCTCTGTTTAGGCTATAAAGGAAATGTAATTTTGCCAAAAGAAGAACTTTTAATTTAAATAAATGTTAATTTTAAATCAGCCTACTTCAGTGTGATATGTTACCATATTATCATGCTTAATTGAATAATTGTAATGTGATGATCAGATGCAGATATCTAAATCAAAGAATATGGGTGGTTGGCAGGTGGATTATTTTTTATTTTTAACAACAGATTCGAGTGACTCAAAGTGCACCAGATTAATGAATTTATCTTTAAAATGTACAAATTTTTCTCACGGGGGGGGGCATGCCCCCGGACCCCCCTAGTGTTACGATTTTACCAACTCCGCCTCATTTTGAGCCAGGAAAAACCCTTTATTGGCTATTGTTAAAAGGAGATCTGTGTTTTATGTTGTTGGAAAAGGGACAGAGAAGTGCTGTACATGACTGTTTTAGGCCTGTAATTGATTGATTATTGAGGTAATGAATAGTAGTAGGTCTGTAATTTGTGTGAAAATATTTTTGAAGAATTGAAGGATGACTGTTGTTATAATATTTTGTATGCTAGTTGCACTTACCATTTTGATTTGAAATAGCCTATGTTTTAAAAGGGAAAATGAAACAGTACATTATTGGCTTAGGCCTGTTATTGACTGATTATTGTGTTTATATATGAGTAATAAGCCTGTGGATATATACTTAACAATGTTATATTACTGTTGAAAATGTTGAATTATAGTTGACAGTTTGTATAGTTATATATACTATTTGTATAGTTAAATAAATATTTTGCTAGTGACTAACAGGCAACAAAGAATGTCAAAGTAGAACTACATTGTGGCCTTGTTTTTTCATAATTTTCTGCAAGTGGTAGATCTTGGTTTACATTTGGACTTGGGATGTGATCTTAGGCTTGAAAAGGTTGGTGACCACTGGTCTAGCAGAAGGCTAGCGTGTTCCGGCCAACAATGGCCCAACCTGTAAGAAATCGAAATGACATAAGTACTCATTCATTCGACTTTTGGCCTATAATCTATATTGAACTTGTGGAATCAACAATAAAATCTACGTTAATTCAACGAAAAGCAGGAGAAAGAGATACATTTAGCTGTCTAGCTCCATAGACTCCCATTCAGTCTGCACTCGCCCGCGATCACCTCCAGTGGAATTCTAATGGAACTGCAACCAAGATGATAAAACGGGGCTAAAAGGAAGTGCCAAGGCTCTCCATAGACGGGCTCTGCTATTGCACATAATTTTACTTATTCCCGCAGATTTTGTGCTCACACACCCAAAGTGCGTGCACATAGAGCTGCCTCAGCGCTTAAACAGTCAAATACACACAAAATAATGTCAAAAGGCCCGTCTTGGCGAGTATTCACCATAGAGGTATTCACGTAAACGCAGTCAGTTATGCTGAGAAAGAAAACACAAGTGTAACAGTACAATTATCCGTGCGTCAGGTCTTAAAGTGACAGCACCCTAATATACCTGCTACCAAATTATGAGAAAATATTTTAAAAATCTATCCCCATAGTATCGATGCCAAAATTGTGGCCAGTGAAAATGCTGAGTGGTTAGTAACTTTGGAAAACCACTAGCCACTGTAGCTGATGGGCAAACATTTTTTAATGTCAAGCCCTGGTTGTAATAAAATAAATCAACCTCCATGTCTATTTATTGGTAGATGTTGTTGTTTGGTTCTTTCAGTATGTGAAGGTAGTGCCTGCAGGTGGAGAATGTTATGACACTGGAACCTTCTTCCCATCTGACCCACATCATTTGACTCGCATGGGCATCGCGCAGAGGCGCCAACTGTTGCTCCGCCCCGACTGGGTGATGATCGGTGGGCTTTTAGCTGGAGCTGTGGTAGTCTTGTGCATGTGCGTGACAATATTGGTAAGTGATAACGGAGGCTTAAACAAAAACTTTGGGGTTAACAAAGCTTGACTTATTGAAGTGACTTGTCCTCACAGATCCTGTTCAGGGAGTACGGCTGGCCTGAGAAACTGCCAGCTCAGGCCAGGTACCGTCATCTGCAGCTCAGGTACAACATGGATGACTATTCATCGAAGGGCTCCAGGGTGGTGGCTGTGAAAAAAACACACCGAAACCTGCAGGTGGGGTTGACAGAGGATTCAGTGCAGAGAGGTAACCTACTATAGACACAAGTAAACATGCCACATTTTCACACAAATAGACCTGTTATCTCTATCACCTCTGAGCCTGTACATCCCGGGATCCTTGTCCATAATGCCAATATCATATTATGAGTTGAAAGATTACAGACTTCACATAATCTATAACAAACATTGCTAACTACAATAATGAACTAACAATGAACTGTACTCTAGGTTATTGTTCATTTTACATAAACTACAGATTTAAAAAAAAAAAAAAAATGTTTTGAAAGAAGTCTCATGCTCACCAAGGCTGCATTTATTTGCTAAAAAATACAGTATATTTATTAATATTGTGAAATATTATTTCAATTTAAAGGAACAGTTTTCTAATTTTGTATATTTAAAAATGTCTTTGGTGTCACGTGATCCTTCAGAAATCATTCTAATATGCTAATTTGCTGCTCAAGAAACATTTCTTATTATTATCAATGTTAAAAACAGTTGTGCTGCTTCACTTTTTTGTGGAAACTGATAAAAAAATCAGGATTCTTTGATTAATAGAAAATGTAAAAGAACAGCATTTATTTGAAATATAATGTTTGTAAAACTATATACACTCCCCGGCCAATTTATTAGGTACACCTGTCCAACTGCTCGTTAACACTTAATTTCTAAGCAGCCAATCACATGGCGGCAACTCAGTGCATTTAGGCATGTAGACATGGTCAAGACAATCTCCTGCAGTTCAAACCGAGCATCAGTATGGGGAAGAAAGTTGATTTGAGTGACTTTGAACGTGGCATGATTGTTGGTGCCAGAAGGGCTGGTCTGAGTATTTCAGAAACTGCTAATCTACTGGGATTTTCACGCACAACCATCTCTAGGGTTTACAGAGAATGGTCCGAAAAAGAAAAAACATCCAGTGAGCGGCAGTTCTGTGGGCGGAAATGCCTTGTTGATGCCAGAGGTCAGAGGAGAATGGCCAGACTGGTTCGAGCTGATAGAAGGGCAACAGTGACTGAAATAACCACTCGTTACAACCGAGGTATGCAGCAAAGCATTTGTGAAGCCACAACACGCACAACCTTGAGGCGGATGGGCTACAACAGCAGAAGACTCCACCGGGTACCACTCATCTCCACTACAAATAGGAAAAAGAGGCTACAATTTGCAAGAGCTCACCAAAATTGAACAGTTGAAGACTGGAAAAATGTTGCCTGGTCTGATGAGTCTCGATTTCTGTTGAGACATTCAGATGTTAGAGTCAGAATTTGGCGTAAACAGAATGAGAACATGGAACCATCATGCCTTGTTACCACTGTGCAGGCTGGTGGTGGTGGTGTAATGGTGTGGGGGATGTTTTCCTGGCACACTTTAGGCCCCTTAGTGCCAATTGGGCATCGTTTAAATGCCACGGCCTACCTGAGCATTGTTTCTGACCATGTCCATCCCTTTATGGCCACCATGTACCCATCCTCTGATGGCTACTTCCACCATGTCACAAAGCTCTAATCATTTCAAATTGGTTTCTTGAACATGACAATGAGTTCACTGTACTAAAATGGCCTCCACAGTCACCAGATCTCAACCCAATAGAGCATCTTTGGGATGTGGTGGAACGGGAGATTCGCATCATGGATGTGCAGCCGACAAATCTGCGGCAACTGTGTGATGCCATCATGTCAATATGGACCAAACTCCCTGAGGAATGCTTCCAGCACCTTGTTGAATCTATGCCACGAAGAATTGAGGCAGTTCTGAAGGCAAAAGGGGGTCCAACCCGTTACTAGCATGGGGTACCTAATAAAGTGGCCGGTGAGTGTATGTATTTACTGTAATTTATGATCAATATAATGCATTCCTGCTGCATAAAAGTGTTAATTAAAAACAATCTTACTGACCCCATACTTTTGATTAGTAGTTTAGAACCTTATTGTAAAATGTTACCCAAACATAGATTTGAAATGTTCTGATTAGATTAAAAATATTTGTATTATTATTAGATGCATACGTACATTTTTATATTTTAATTTTCCCCCAAGTACAAACATGCAATTTGGTAGCAGGTAATAACACATTTTATATTAATGTTATATTATAAAATAGACAATTGTTGTATTTAGAATTTAGAAATTAAAAAAGACATTTGTAATGGGTGCCCAACAACCAGAAAAAAGGAAATGTTTTATTAATGAAAGTTTTCCTATAGATTCCATGTTAGAAAATAAACAAACATGACATCTACAGTATTGTTTATTGACCATTATTAAATTGCAAGGAATCCCCATATGCTTCACAACAAAGGAGAAAACAATTACACCAAGATGTCAAAAGCTCTTTTATTTGCTCCAAGTAGCATTTGAACATCCATTGACAAGATTCTTCTTAAGATCTGCTTAAGATAACCATGATATCAGGCTACATTTGTGACGGCAGTAGTAAACTGACTCATTTTACACTGATGTCAAGTTTTTAGGATATCCCTGCTGTTTTGGCAGAACTACATCTCTGTTTGACAACCACTAAAAGTCTTTGACAGCATCGTACACAGTTACCAAAGATTACTCTTTGCTTTCAAAGCAGTAATTGTCAAGACTTATTGGGCTTGACACATTTGGCTTTCTATCAGCTCCAGAGTCCAGAGTTAGAATTCCCACAGATTGTGCTCGCATTGTCCACAGCGGTGGCTCTGGTGTCGAATGAGTTCTGGGACTATGAAGAACAAGTGGATCTTGAAGCCTTCAGTTCCAGCACCTTCTACGACATCCTGCTCAAGCACAGCGTGTCTGTCACAGTACGCCTCGGACAGCTCAGAGGAGAGGTGAGACTCCATGAGAACAAGTCTTAATTCCCACCCCTCAGAGCTTCAAATATCACCCTCGTAAAGTTCAAACATATTTATAACATATTTTGAATAGCATCACCGAGATTCTCGGTTGCAATTAACAGTCTCTCTTGGTTTACTGTTTAGTATGATACTATGTTAGGATACAGAAGTGAATTGTTACTTCCCTGGGGCGAAAAGTGCCTGGGTTAAGTTGTAAAATGAGTTGTAAGTAGCGTTCCTTTGTAAGCTTGTTTCATTGAAGGAAACGTGCACCCTGTCTAGGTGAAGCAGCTCTACCAGGGGGTGCTGGGGAAGTTGAGAGAGCTCCACCCTGGCTGGAGGATGTTTGGAGGGAAAACTGAAGGTTTGGAGAGACAGGTGGAGCAGGAGATGCTGCGACGAAGAGCGCTGGGGAATCAGCTGACACAGCTACTGGACAGTCAGCTGCAGATCCTGCGGGAGGAGATGAGAGCGCAGCAGGCCATGCAGAAGACCTTCAGAGCGCGAGTCAGGGAGAGCGCCAGGCTTCTAAGACTGCTGGCTGAGGGTCAGACCTCGCTCTGGGAAAAACACATCAAGCAACAGTATGTCATGGAGAGGCATATGTATCTGTCTGGTTTTATCTCTGCTTGAAAAAAAAAAAAACCTCTTCAAACAAAAATTGGTTCATAAATGCTTTTCTGTTGATTAAAATCTGCACACAATTGTGATCGTTTTTCAGATCCGATCTTTAGGATTGATTGTACTGTGATGATATTGGACCTGTATTTTAGAATGTGCTGTCTATATCCGATATATATGCCTGGCTGTAGTAAGATTTATACGTTATCATGATATGAAGAGAGTTTAAAGAAAGTAGGTTTTATTGGAGATAGAGAGGACTGGAAACTAGACATTTAGCCTTAGTTCATGTCTATGACCTCAGTGTTGAACTCATGAGGCACATCAGATAACATAAGCATCAGAGACAGCAGCATGGTGTCCTTGAATCCATGAACTGCATGACACTGCCAGGCCACCACAAAACCAGTGTTTGTCTGACTTCTTATCTCTGGATCTACCCAGCCTCTGCACAACCCTTCAATTCCCTCAGCACCTCCATGTTTTCACAGTACATATCACATGGGCACTTCAAAGCCCAAATCCTCTCATCCCTGTGTGTTGGCATTCCTTAACCTTAGTTTTTGCAAAAAAAATATAGTATAGTATTGCATATGGTATACAATAGTAAAACCATAATAAAATAAGCTTTATTTGATTATGATTTTACTATTTAAGTAAATTAATTATAAAATGTGTAAATTATATACTTTTACAAGTAAAAAGCCTCTTTATGGTATTTTCATTTATTTTTTGGTAGCTTATATATGTTACAATAGTTTTACTATGTGTGTGTTTAAACAACTGAATACAATATTTTAAATAATACTTATATTACTTCCTTAGAATCTTTCTTCATCAGTTTCCTTGGGTATATGTTGTGCATTGCAGTGTTCTGGAGCGAGTAGCTGTGCTGGCTGATGAGATGACTGAGATGGTATCAGTGGAGAGCCAGAGGCTGGGAGCCTGGGTTGTGCTTAAAGAAGGCACTGGAGCACAGCTGTTATGCCCTGCTACTGGATCGGTCCTCAGTAGGGAAGACGCCATTGGTAAGAGAACTATTTAAAACATTTGTGTGAGAATGGACAGATACCAAATGTTATTGTATATGGTGAGCATGCATTCAGTCAGTGACTGTGCAATCACGCCCCCTAGTGGAATTCTAACAGAAAATAGTCAGCTACACCACTAGGTGGAAGTATTTTACAACATAGCACACGTTTGGCTGGTCAAATCCTGACAAATATCCTCTGAGGCTCAATTTGGCATGTATGTGGCATGACTGATTGATTAAGATTGCACTCCTTTTCCCTCCACAGCTCCTGACGGATCTGTTAGGGCTTGTGATGCCGTTCATGTAGACCCCCTCACAGGCCTCATTCAACCCAACTCTAATGCCCATATGTTACTGGCCAGTGGGCACAGCATGCCAGTGCCCCCAGACTTCTTCCTGCACCCCCAGACAGGCAAACTACTGCCTGTGGCGGGAAATGTGGGCTTTGATCCTGCTTCCTCCACCCTTGTCTTTACAGCTGATGCTTGTGTGGGTGAGTCACTTAATATGCTAGTTAGTATGTTTAAATAAATATTCTCAGTCAGCAGCACTTGATTACCAAAAAAAAGAGAGAAGACTTGTTTACTTTAAATAAACCAAAATTGAGGTGACACTGACAGTGAGGCACTTGAAAGTAAATAGGAGACATAAAAGCAAAAAATGTGAAGCTTATTATTTTACAAAAGTACTTGCATACATTTAAAAAAAAAGAGTATATATGGCTATTTTAGCTGTACTGTAGAGTTGTTCTTGTAATTTTATGGTCATTTTAGGTGTTATGTTGTCATAGCAATGAAGAAAAATGGTAAGGAAGTAATATAAATATAAAATTTAAAATATTTTTTTCATTAGTTGTAATGGTTATTAGTTATACAATTTTTAAAAACGTTTTTTCACATTTTTATTTTTATTTGTAATATATTATTTAGATGTATAAAAGGTTTTTTTTTGTAAGTTTAACGTTTACAGTAGTCTGATTAAAACTTTTTTTTACTGCTTTTTGCTAAATCAAGTTTACGGTGAGGCACTTGCAATGGTTTTCTCTTCTTAGGTGAGGTGGGAAAATGGGAATCACCCCTGCTGCCTTTCATTCCTTACCCTCCATCCCGGCATGCTGAAATCCATGCTGCTTCCAAACTACGGGGGCTTCGTTCAGGCCAAAGGCTGGTGCTTGGAGGACCCATGTGTGACTATGACACTGGTGTTCTGGTGCCTATTCTGGCAGTCACCATCCATCCACAAACTGGACTGGTTTATCCTTTGGGCGGCGTGCACATGTGCCCCATCTTGCGCCTGCGGCTGCCCATTCAGATTAGCTCTCCCATGCTGGACCCACGTACAGGCAACCTGGTGCTCATCACGGGGGTCAGTCTTGATCCCCACACAGGTCCGTTTTTTGTATGTTGAAAAAATCTCAGCATGTTCAAACAGCCTGATTGATGATTGTGTCTGTTCAGGGGCTGTACTTCCAGTTGGGGGGCTTCTCCTGTGCGAGTCCTTCATCGAGCCCTTGAGCGGCCGGATGGTGCGGGTTGGTGGAGGCAGCGTGCGAGGAGGGAAGGTGGTGCCTCATGCTGGGGGTTTCCAGGCTCTGTTGGACAGCCAGGCTCTGGGCGCCTGCTTGCGGGTGGCAGAGCTCATGCAAGGTTGCTGTGATGAGTGGAGCTCAACAGCCGCAGATCTACAAGGTGACCTCGATAGACTCTCGGCAGGAACATCTGAGCTGGAACAGGCCTGGAAAAGCAGCCAACATTGTATGTTGCAGCTGCTGTGTCGTCTGGAAGCCGTACAGGACCAGGCCAGGGATGTGGCGGAGAATGGTGGTACTGTGGGTGGGTAGGAGCTGTTTACTACAAAAGATCTGTACAAAATCTGTATATTAATATTAAGGTTAGGTCAGTACAAAAATGTTCCATTCTGCCAAATGGTTACTGTTGATACTTTGGTAAAATCATGATCGATTTACCCTGCGCTGAGCCCCGCCTTAAAAACATTAATAAACAGTTGTAGATAAGCATCTGACTATTTTTTAGTTCACAGATTTAGTGGAAATTATCCAAAAATGTTATGTCCAAAGTAACTTCACAGAGTTCACAGTACCAAGATGTTAGAAATATTAGCAATATTTGTAAATTCCTTTATACTAATGCAATCTGTTTTAATCTAAAAAAAAATTCTTATCTGTTGACTGTGAGTGTGTGCTGAAGTGTTTTCCTTCATTCTGATTTGCAGTCTTTGAAGTTTTAAATCAAGTTACTGCGTAACTGAACAATTTCTTTAAAGTAAAATGGCAAATAAAAATACTTTTCTATGTCACAATGTATTCCAGTCCATGTAATAATAATATCCAATAGATTTTTACCACTTTATGAGCAAATTTTACTGAAAACCATGCTGTTCACAGACATCTCCAGTTCATTCTTAACCAAGGGGGCAGAGCTTAGTGAAGGGTAATTTAATATGGGATGGGATCTCATTCAAACAGTGCAAGATCTTTCAGAATGATCTTTTATGATTACAGTCGTGTTTAATAACTGTCAATAACTTTAGGTAATGTAAAGAAGTGTTAATAATATTATGAGATACACTACCATTCAAAAGTCTTTTATTTAAGATATATCAAGGCAGAAATTATTTGATAAAAAATACAGTAAAATAGATAACTGTTTTCTATTTTAATATATTTTAAAATGTAATTTATACTGTGATAGAAAAGCTGAACCTTTTATTTAAACTTTTTATTATTTTTGCATTTTATTTATTTTTATAAAATATTTTTTGTATAATTTTTTGGTATTTTATTTGTATGCTTAACATTTACACTAATCTGATTAAAGCAGAAATTCTACTGCATTTTTTCAAATGGTTTAACTTTGCCTCCTTGCTGCTTGTGCTCTTTTAGGGGAGATCAAGCTGCCTGGCATTGAGCTCTCCTTGCCAGCTCTAGCCGGGTTGGAGTATCCTGACCCCGGAGGCTCGGGTTTGCATGTCCCAGTTCTCGGAGCTCAGTTGGACTGGGTGTCAGGCTGCATGGTGCCTCTGGCAGGAACCATGGAGGATGCAGATGGAAAAGGTAATGGAGGTTACTAGGAATGTCCAAATCCTGTTACATTAATCTCCAGGTGTTAACCTATTACGACTCTCAGGGATGGTTCCCATACGTTTTGGATCACAGACGGTGGACCCAGTGACAGGGGTGCTGGCTCCAGTTGTTGGGGCCAATCTGGATGTTTGGAAGCGGACTGTGATTCCTGTAACTGTGTCCCAGATTCTGACATTAGGAGAAAACCCAGACAGTGTAATGGTGAGCGAAGTCGAACTAAATCACAGCCACATAAAAGCTCATTTGGCTTGGGGGTATTTATATGTTTGCAAAATGTATTTTTTTGCCTCAGGTGGAAACCCTCCAGAAGGAGAGCAGTGCACGGGGCAATTACTGGCGTGAACAGACACTGAAGGAAGAAGAGATGGTTGGAGATTTTGAGAGAGCCGTTAAACGCTATCTATCCACGTCCATACATGAGCCTGACTGTGTGAGTTGACTCCACAGAGATGGCACTTCACTCTGTGGCCTATTTAAAATGCAAGTCTTTTGACCAAGTGTCTGTTTTTATTTCTGTTAGTGTCAGAGTGATAGAAAGCGTTTCCACCATCCTTGCATCCTAAATGAGATGCTGCACATGTTCGTGTGTGTGTGTGAAACAGATAGACTGGATGGACACCGACAGGCAGCAAAGGGAAAAGCTAAGGGAGACTGCCGCTGAAGTTCAGGAAAGCGCTCAGTGTGAGGCCCAGAGAAAAGCTCTCCAGAACTCAGAGTTATCTCTGCTTCTACCTGCCCATGTGTTACATGCTCTCACAGGAGGTCAGTCCTCACGCTCATACTCCCACTGTGAGCGCAAACGGTCAAGCTTTAAAAGATTCAAAAAATAGCATTCATGATTCTTGGTCGGTAAGTGTCTTTTTTAATGTTTTTTTTTATTTTTTTAAAGAAGTCTCTTATCCTCACCAAGGCTGTATTTATTTGATTAAAAATACAGTAAAACACTAATATTGTGAAATACAATTTAAAATAACTATTTTCAATTTTATTATATTTTAAAATGTAATTTATTTCTGTAATTGCAAAGCTGAATTTTCAGCATCTTTACTACAGTCTTCATTGTCTGTCACATGATCCTTCAGAAGTCATTCTAATATGCTGGGTGCTCAAGAAACATTTCTTAAAGTACAGTACTAACAATTGTGCTTCAGTTTTTTTTGTGGAAATTGTGATTTTTTTTTTTTTTTTCAGGTTTGATGGATAAATAGTTGAAAATCATTTATTTGAAATAGAAATGTTTTTTAATAAAACATAAACGTATTTACTGGAACTTTTAAAAAAAAAAATTCAATGCAAAATTTAAAGCATAATGCATGTATTACTGTGTATGTATTAATGTATGTATTACAGTGTATAATAATGTAATACATAATTGCTAAATGTATTCATTTCTTTAAAAAAAAAAAAAAAAAACTTAATAATCCCAAACTTTTGAAGGTAGTGTATAATATATAGACGAATAACAGACTGCTTTTGACAACTTACTTAAAATCTGCGTTAAAGAGATTCACTCAACAATAACAGTTCTGTTTTTATTTACTCACCTTCTTGTTGCCCTAATATGTCTGTCTTGCTTAAGTGGGAAAAAAGTAATAATTGTAAGAATCGTCTTTACACAGGTCTTTTCCATACAGTGACAGGTCATAGTGACTATGGGTGCTCAAATCAAATCCCCCCCCCCCCTGTAAAATATATGTAAATGTTGTCTAAACTCCCTGTGCAGTATATTCCAAGTCCTCTGAAGTCATACGATAAAGTATATTTGTTTGAGGAACAGACCCAGATTTAGGTAATTATTCACTGATAATCTTCCCCTCCAGTTAGCAGTTAACTCAAGAATCAAATCATTGAACCAGTGAGTCGAACTCTGATTTTTGAGGAAATCAATCTAATTTGTTCATCAGTTGTGAAAAAATGGTTCAGTCCCAATATTGAACAAGGATCAGGATCACAAATCAGTTCAAAATAATGATTCAGACCTTTACTTATTCAGTTTTTGAGTTCAACCCGCTGATTTCAGTGAGCTGTTCGCAGCGGTTCTCGAGTGAATGACTCACTGGAAGAGAAAATGATCAATGAGTAACATAACTTTAAGAATGTTCCTCACATAAAGCTATCATATGACTTCAGAAGAATTGAAAAAGTCACCAGTTTGCCAAAATGTTAAAAAGTTACAAATTGCCTTGAGAGTTTGTTGGCTTGATGTCACTGTCATTTTTTGGAAAACCATATTGCCCTCAATTTTATTTCATAAAACAGCTTTGTTTCATAAAAGGTTTCATCTCTGTGTGAACTCTTCCTTTAAGGAGACGAGGAGGAGTGGGAGCAGCAGTGTTACTGGCAGACCGGGCTTAAAGCCGTGCTAAACCGTGCGAGTGTGTCCATGGAGAGATTGCGGACGGACCGGGATCAGCTATCAGTACAGGAAATGCAGCATTTGGTCAGCTTGTTTTCACATCGAAACTCTCACCCTCAAACAGAAACATACAAATCTGCTGAGCTTATTACTACGTTGTTAAACAGTTGAATGAGCAGATCAATACACTGGAAGCTTAATATCCTTCGTGTGACTATTGGTGTGATTGTCAATACTCTGGCTTTGCACTGTCCATTTTCCAGTTTAATGGAGTCTGCTCTAGGATATATAACTCAATATCTCGTGATTATCACAGGGTGAGAAACTGAGGGAGCAGGAACTGTGGGAGCAATTAATGCAGAGACAAGCAGAGCTGGACGCTGTGCTTTCGTCTCTCCACAGTGCTCGTCTGGTATGCCAGCTGCGTGCTGACACCGCGCAGGTAACACGTGCCAGAGGCTAGATGTGTAATGCATGCTCGTGGCACTGACCGATAATTGTGCAGCGATGTCCTTGGTTTATCCTTAGAGCTGTTTTGTATATACACTGCTTGGCAAAAAAAAAGTCGCTGTTTGGATTTAAATAGGCAAATGTTTAAGAGTCCATGATTGGATCATTATTGCAGTGATTATTATGTTTCTGGCATGTATATGTTTGGCAACAGTTTTTCTAACCCTAATTGATGGAGTGTGTTGCTTTTCATTTCTTAAACCACCATGTAGGAAGAGACATCATGGCCATATTCCAGGATGACAATGTTAAGAATCATCAGGCTCAAATTGTGAAAGAAAACAAAAATGGATGCACCTCTTGATAGAAATAAATGTTGTGATGTTATTTTCATCAAGAGTTGCATCGGTTTTTGTTCAAGGTCTTGTACTGACACTGCAAGAGTCAAGCACTCTGTAAAGTCTACTCCAGCACATCATAAAGACTTTCAATGAATTTAAGGTCTGGACTCAGAGGTACCAATTCATGTGTAAAAAATGATTCTTCATGCTCCCTGTCAACCATTCTTTCACAATTTGAGCCTAATGAATCTTGACATTGTCATCCTGGAAATATGGCCATGATGTGTCTTCCTACATGGTTGTTTAAGAAATGAAAAGCAACAAACTCCATCAATTAGGGTTAGAAGAACTGTTGCCAAACATGCAACATTCTAGAAACATAATAATCACTGCAATAATGATCCAATCATAGACTCGTTTGCTCATTTAAGCATTTGCCTATTTGAATCCAAACTGCGAAAATGCTTAATGAGACTTTATTCCGTCTTTTCCCTTGACAGTCTACTAAATTGATTCTCTTCCTCCAGTCTTTGGTGTCTGGCACATTCTGGTTTAAAGATTTTGGTGTGCTGAAGCCCAAGGGTGTCAGGAACCCTCTGAAAGTAATTGCCATGACTCAGCAGAAAATCCTTCCTCGGCTTGAACGACTTATTCAGCTGTTGGAGGAAAGCAAAGCACTTGGCCAGACTACCAGCACACAGCCACAACAGAGCTCTGGTACAATATCCTCATTTATGCCTTATTATAGAAAAGTTAATCATGTTTTTGTCTCAGTTGTGAAACCTATCTCAAAAGGGAAACGGGCGTTTGGCCGGGAAAGCGTTTCCAGAGCATGGACCGAATCTGTGTCTGTTATGAAAGGTATATTTGAATACACAGAATAAATAGCAAGATTCTGGTTGTCAAGACTGTAGAATTTCACCGCTGTGTTTGTGTCTCCTGCTACGCCAGGTGTCTCGACTCAATCCCTTAAAGATCAAATGAAGACTCCGTCTGCGAGTGAACAGAATGCCACGGTGCCCTCTCTTTCTCTGTCAAACCCATCTTACACTCAGAAAAACCAGGAAAAACCACATCTAAACCGCAGCCAGGGTGAGGTTGTCTTAAGTCAGAGATGTTACCGGCATCCTCATTTCAGATCGCGACATGATGTTCTCTCTTGTTTCATTCAGATGTCCAATCTCTCCAGGAACCTGGTCTGTCCGCATACATCAGTATCCCAAAGCTAGCAGGTCAGAGCGTTTTACTGGAGCACTTTGAGTGAAACTTGCAGTTTGTGTTCAAGAAAAGTTTCCTTGACCTTGAAGCCAAGTTTTAAAAAGAGGAGAACAGTGAAGCAAAAATGTGATTTGTTACATTGCTTTGGCACATGACCCAAGTAGTTATTGAGGCTATTCGCGTGTTTGCTAAGGCAGGCAACACAAAAATACTTAAGGTATAAACCATACTTAATACTTATATTATCTATACTTGCTCACACTTACAGTTTTAAGTTTGTTCACATCCCTAACCCTAAGTATTAAACTTCAACACATAACTGCACCAATTGTTAGTGTTGTAGTACTCAAGTCCGGAAAAGAACAGACTCAGACTCAAGTCCGAGTCAAAGACCATTTTTTTCTATGACTAGTTGAGACCAGCTCGCTTCCAGGCCGAAGTCCAAATGCTCCTGAAAAGAGTCTTGGACTCTAACTTGAGACAGACTAAAGTCAGAGTCCGGTTATGTCCGTGCTTTAGTACCACATCACTGCCATTTATTCTATAGATATGAATTATACCTCAAATAGTGGTGTTTATTGAGGAGAGGTGTGCTATTACTTTTTTTGAGGTTTCAGACCAATTTTAATCCCGCAGGGTTATTAACAGAACTGTTTTTGTTGGAGTAGGTTTCATCACTGAAAATTGTATCATACTTTGTCTACAGTTTAAACAACAATGTTAAAAATGGAACACTATGGCAATTCAATTCATGTATCTTTTTTTCATTCATTTTTTGTTTTCATATTGAAAGCAGAAAAAGTAGAAAATGGCACCATTTCAATTTTTCCAATTAAAAACAGAAAATCAAGATTTCGGCTTGATTTTTGTTTTGTTTTTTTGCATTCAGGGGTAGAAAATGATTAAACAGCTTGAATATTCGAATATTCGATCTGTGGCGTGAATGAAAAGCGTTAGATCTCTGGTTTTCCAATCAGTGGAAAGGGGCATTCCAAGCTAAATTCTTGTTTTGTTTTGTTTCTTTGTTTTTTTTTTGTGGAAAAAAATGAAAAAGGTGCCATTTTCTAATTTTTCTACTTTCAATATTTAATAAAAAAAAACTAACGAACTAATGATACACGGATTCAACAACTTTCTTATCTGTACGTGATGACATTTTGTTTTTGGGGGTTGGGCGGAACTGACGGAACTGCAGTTCCTTTCAGTTTTCCCCCTGCTTTTGGCCTAAAACACTGTTCGTAGTCATCCTGTTTGAAATGAAGTCTACAAACACAGAGGTATTTCAGATTTTTTGTTGCTGTGTTCTCTCCGTATTTACGATTCTTTGCAGCCTTTAGCCTGGAAACAGAAAATAATGCACTCCCGTTAAACGTTTATTCTTTCATTCTTACCATTATGACTAAATTGTTAGTGTTGTAGTACTCAAGTCCGGAAAAGAACAGACTCAGACTCAGACTCAAGTCCGAGTCAAAGACCATTTTTTCTATGACTAGTTGAGACCAGCTCGCTTCCAGGCTGAAGTCCAAATGCTCCTGAAAAGAGTCTTGGACTCTAACTTGAGACAGACTAAAGTCAGAGTCCGGTTATGCCCGTGCTTTAGTACCACATCACTGCCATTTATTCTATAGATATGAATTATTCCTCAAATAGTGGTGTTTATTGAGGAGAGGTAGTATTTCCTAAAGTATTTTAAAGTATTTCCTATTAAAGCAAGCTTAGGCAATATTTGACTCTGGTCAAGCATATCCATAGCAGACTGGTAGTGGATTTGAACGGCAACATGCCCTGTACATTATGAGTGTGGAAGTTTTCCTATCTGTTTGGAAAAAGGTCAGATAGCACCAATTTATGTCAGGACCACTATCGTCAAATACGATTTACAATTAGCATACAGCATATTAGCACACTTATATGTGATTGGCGGTATAGTTCTGTTCTGGGCAAGAACTTCCTGCGCATCCATGCAGCCTAAGGGCAGGGAGAGCAGCAATAACCCCCCTTAGGGTAAACAAAATTCTCTAATGTGATCGCACCTTTACATTTTTGACTGCAGTCAATAAAATGGCCAAAAAAAAAATCCTAAACTTACACTGAAAAGAAGAGTCAAGTCATGTAGTGTCCAGAGTATTAAAGTGACTTGGGAAACAAAAAGTAATTATTTTCCTGTTCTGTATTTGTTTTACGGTGTTGCAGGGGAAGAGTGGTCCAGACTAGTAGCGCTATCTCCTCTCTTCCAGCTGATGAAGGAAGTGGAGCAGCAGCTCAGGGATAGTGCCAGAGATAGAGGCCTGCTGAAGATCCAGCCCTTGGGTCAGGCTCTAATTATCACCACTGAAACGTGCAAAGTCATTAGTGTAGCAACAGATGACTTAAAGCCATGAGAACCATCAACATGTCAGTCGAAATATAACTTGAGCTTTATTTTAGCATCTTCTTAAAGGTTAAAGGGATGTGAGAATGTAATTAATTAACAACTTTATTTTGTGTTAAAGTTTGCAAAGATGCAGAGTGATCAACGTGTGACACATTAAATGGTGTGTGTTGGTACATGCATTCAGGTGCAGGCCGGTCGTTCATGGATTTCATGGATGCCCAGTGGGAGTGCGAAGGAGAGCTGATTCTAGTGAGCTCTGAAACACTCAACCCACGAGAGCTTCTGCTCTGCCAGCATGGACAGTTTCTCCTCCAGCACCTTCACTTATATAAAATGGTCTGGATTTGTCTGTCTTTCTCTCACTTGCTTTTAGAGTATGTGTGATTCTCATAGACTGTGTTGGGGAGTAACTAACAAAACGTTACTAACTTCATTTTTTTTAGTGACAGTAGGTATTTTAACGTTCTTGGGTTGCACATGCAGCTTATCTTTGATTTGTTCAGGTAGATAATTTAACTGAACCAGTAAAAAAAACAAAAAACATTTGAGTCTCCACATGGTTAGTTATGACATTTTACGAATGTATTTTTCTATGGCGATAATCAAAATAATATTAATTAATATTAATATTAATGTAAATGAGAGGTCTTTTTTAATGTTTTGAATGAAGTCTAGTATGCCCACTAAGGCATACATAAATAAAAACAGTAATATTGTGAACTATTATTACACATTTTTTATTTGAATATATTTTAAAATGTGATGGCAAAGCTGAATTTTCAAAACTCCAGTCTTCAGTCACATGATCCATCAGAAATACGAATATGCTGATTTTTTTCCAGAATTAATTGATTAATAAAAAGTTTAAAAGAACAGCATTTATTTGAAACTTTTGTAACATTATAAATGCCGTTACTGTAACTTTTGGTTTCATGTAAATAGCCTAAAAAATAGTTTGTTCACAGCTTTGATTTCTTCATTCTAGATACCAGCAGTAACACTTCAACTGGCTTCTAGTCTTCCTTTCAACAACTATAATAACAATGCTTTCCGCAACTCTTTCTATTATCAGGTATTTCTAAAATTATGCATGTACATATTGAACCAGCGAAATATAGAACATATGGAAAGTTATTAATAATATACAACACTTTGAGAAGTGAGAATTAGCACCACTTTCCATGTGATATAATTGGTTTCCCAGCTAGTTTGGTTGCCGTAAGGTTAAATGCCCTTATTTGTCAGTCACCAAGTGAGCTATAATTTATTCATGTTAAGCACACTTAGAGCTCTGTCATACAAACCCCTGTGCACTTAGCACTTCCTGTGTCTTCAGGAGGGAGAGAGGACTCTGTTTGTTCGCCGTCTGAGGTTGCAGTCAGTGGGTGGCCTTTCTCTGCTGCTCATGCACTGTGCTGCACACATTTCCACCAGTCAGATGAGAACAGACTCCGATCCTGCCTTCCAAAGGGCCTTTTTCAAGGTGCCATTTACAACCGCCCCACACCAGCACAGCTTGAAAAAGACAAGAATGAATGTGCTAATGACCTCATGTCCTGTCCCTACTTCCAGGTTTTACAGGTGGGCCTAAGTGAGCTGTTCCATGCCAGACTGGGACAAACTGATAGTCCAGATGACGAGAGGACGAAAGATTTGGCGTCAGATGCAGCTCTCGATGGTCTTCTGCTGGAAAGAGTGCAGAAGCCAAGTCCTGGGATTTTCACAGAGGATGTAAGTTTGATTTATTTTGCCATATTCGCCCCTTACGTTCTCAGTAGCTGTTGCCAAGTAATTCACTGGGATGCAGCAGATGCCGTTGGATAGGACTAATCTTGAATGTGTGTTGTTTTCTGGGCAGGAGGTTTTGGGGCATTTGCACAAATACAGAGAGGCTTCAGTGTTCCGCCAGGTCGAGAGTCTCCTGAAAGAGTCTCCTAAGAGCCTGGAGATCAACCACATCAACACCGACCCGTCAGTCAGCGACGGCCCTGACAGCCAAGATGCCGCTCCTACATGAACTGACATTTTAGCTTTGAACAGCACTGTCTTTCTGACAGCGATAAATCCAGCTTTCAAAGGCATGCTATATACTGCAGGACATCTCTCAGCCTTATCGTCTTGGACAGTAACAGCCCTTGGACCAAGTTCAAGTACCTAGTTTTGCTTCAGGACCATCTAGTGGTGACCCAACACAGCTAGCAACTATAGCTGTGACTGAAAAACTTGCCTTAACGAAAAAATTATCTGAAATTCTGAAATGGTTAATATTACCATAAATTGCATAGGTCCAACAACTTGACAATGTTACACAATTTAACATTGTTGGCATCTACCTAATCTGACTAGCTTCTGCCAAAAGATGCAAATTTGCACCAAAATATACAGTTTGTTTGGACACACAAAATTTGATGATAACCAGGGTGCAATTTGTTAAAAATTGGGAGAGGGATATTTGAATGGGAATATCATGATGACATTTTTATGAAGAAATTCAGAAATAAATGTAGAAATATAAAATATAATTCATATAAATTTAGAAAAAATAAACAGGAAAAATACAGGAAATAATAGTTCAAACTATTTTTTAAACAAATATTAAATATAACTTTATATTTATAGTATATCTATAATTATAGTACATTTCCAATAGCAGAAAACAACCATGATGGTGTTTCCACGCCTATCTAAAAAATTAAAAATATATAGATAGGTATTAATCCCGGCAGTCAGAAAAGACAAAAGATAGATGTCAAATTTAAGTAACACTATCAGCCGGTGTAATCAAATTTTAAAATACAACCTCGCAGCAATTTTTTTTTGGATTTAATGCCAAGATAGTAGTGTTATAAATGTAACTTACATTTTTTTTAAAGATGAAAATATAAAAAACCTGGCTACATTTATGACTTTAATAACTCTGGAAATGATGTTAAAACGGTCCATACACAATTATGATTTTTCCCATTCAATTTATCTGTGTTTAGAACGGTCATTTCCTCACGGTATCAAAACAGACCTGCAAACAATTTTAGGGTCATGACCCACCAGATGAGACCAGTATTAGATTGACTAAAATAAAAAGAAAGACAAGCATATGCAGCATACATGAATATAGCAAAATAATAAGCTTTGAGTTTAAAATAGATTTAACTTTGCAAAATGCTCAGGGCAGAATTGCAATGATGAAAGTTTAAAGCTGCAACAATTAAACCATTTCTGTCTTGTTCTGTTTACTATAAAATGTAAACCCGTTAGCACTTCGGATGTCTCAGAATGCAGCTTCACAATCTTGTTTACCAAATACTTATGCATTTATGCCATTGTACTCAAGTTTTGTCTTGCACTGTCTTGTTTGATTGTATTGCATTGCATTATTTATAGTGACGTTTTTCTGCTATCTACATTTAATACAGCTGCTATTTTGTGACTGAATGTCACTCTAGGGATCAATAAAGTATGTTTTAAAGTAACAACCAGAAAAAGAAAGGCACAATAAAACATTTGTATCTGTGTAAGTATGCATGTTTTTTTAATTACATCTCAGTCGTTGGCTTGCTTATATTCACGAATTGGAGCACCTTCATCTGCCCTAAAAGATATTTTGTGACAGAATGAGTGTGTGGTTGTCATTGTACAGGGGAAAGGGTGGTGTTTTCACGTTGCTAAACATTCGTTATAACAAAACAAAGTTTAAATTGATATAAGATCGTCACAGATCTTTTGACCGCGTAATGTAGTTATACGCATTTACCAGCAGGAGCAAACTATTCATTTACACATGGCTGCTGTTGCTATGCTTACGGATACACTTCCGTAAACAAAACTGCCTCACTTCTCTTCAGTAAATTCCTTTTGTTTTGTGAATTCGTTTTGAAGCATGGCTTTGCAAGATAGCGACGATATCGAACGGTTTTTGAGGAATGTTGACCAGATAGGTAAGTGCTGTTTGTTTACAACCCATCTTCATTGATGATAGCGACATAGACAGTAAAGGATAGCGACGCGACGCGACTGTTATAACGGAATGTAATTATACAACGCCACGTTAAGCCGATGTAGACGGGACTCTCAGTAAATGTGGAATTAACATAACATGAAATAAATGTAATTCGATTTTTATTTTATTTTATTGAATTTTGTTGATATCTGATTGCAGATGAGTTGGTAAAAGAGTTAAATTCCAATATGTCGTGTCAAGAGAAAACACTTGCGAAGGCAGATCAATTCATCTCATCTTTGGAGCAGGTGGAACAATGTAAAACCACAATCAATAAGACTGTTATTAAAAAACATCCCTCATCTGAAAATTTGCCCCAGGTAACGTTACAGTATTCAGTCTGTATTAAAAATGTAATATAACAATGTGAATAAAAACACCCTTTATTGCATTTTAAATACATGTTACAGACTCGGGATTATCAATAATAATTGACTTATTTCATGCTTTGTATTCATACCTAATATTTGAAAAAAAACCATGTCTTTTTTTCTTCAAAACTAGCCTACAGTAACACTGCTTTTCTCCTTCTTTTCAGAACATCCAGTATGAATCAAGTCAAAATCCAGGTAGGCCTGGGTTTGTGTATTTGAGTCTCTTATCCGTTCTGTGTTCAGCAGTTGACAAGACTTCTCTGTCTCTGTTGAATAATTTGGTTTCAGGTATAAAACATGAATGTCTGCCCTTGAAGTCTTGTAAATGATTCATAAATCAATACAAACTTGCTAACCTTTATCTTCACTTCTTGTCTTTTTATTATAAATCTTGCAACGGTTTGTTTTACCCTTCGATTCGTCAGAGAATTTCTTGAGGACATTAGAGAAAGATGCCGAAGAGAGACGTCATAGAAGAAAGATGAAAGAGGAAAAAGCCAACGGTGTGTATGCTGAAGCCTGAGAGCGAAATGGGCAGTTTTTGGGCCGTTTTGCACTGTCAGTTTGCAACGTCTAGATTTCCTTTGTCCTCGTTTGACCCGCAGCGTTAAGGGAGCAGGGGAATGAGGCTTTCACTCAAGGTGACTACGAAACGGCTGTCAAGTTTTATACCGAAGGCTTGGAGCAGCTGCGTGACATGCAGGCTCTCTATACAAACAGAGCTCAGGTACTTCTACATTTCAGAACAAGTTCTTCTACAATAATCAGATGAGCCGTATAATAACTGATATTCCCGTGAGACTTCTCCTCTTGTGATTTTACTGTCTCACATTCATGTATTATGTAGGCCTTTATCAAGTTGAAGAGATATAAGGAGGCCATAAGTGACTGTGAGTGGGCTCTGAGGGTGAGTAAATCAGTAGGAAAGAGGTCAGAGAAATGACCCCTCATTTTTCAGTGTCAGCTGAAGCGGAGAGTTTTTTATTATTCTACCTTGTCTGGTGAGAACTGCAGGGCCCATAGAGTGGGTTTGTATTGAACTGGATAGTTGCTCAGCATTAGAAAATTGGGTTGAAGTTCCTTCTGGTCTGTGCCGAATAGTCTTTGCTTTTGGAAAACTTTTAGAAAGTTAAGTAAGAACTAGCTATATCTATGTATTCTTATTCTAAAGTGTGTGCACACATCTTTATCATATAATTAATAAAAAGTAGTGCTGCCAAATCAATTAATTGCGGTTAATCGATTAATTGCGATGTTTAATCAATTAATTAAACAAAAGTTTATAAATATAAAAATATATATGTATATACACACACATATATATATATACACACACACACATATATATACACTTTATACATTTATGTTAGATGTGATAAATCGCAATTAATCGATTTGACAGCACTATCTTTTTTAGTTTTTCAGAGGGTCGCATCTTGTCACACAGTAATGAAGATCTACAGGGGGTCTCTCTGATATTATTTTTGGTTTTATGTGTTTTTTCCCTCTTTTTTCCTCTTTTTATAAATAATAAAAGATTACACTACTTAAGGTTTTCTTTCACATATTTCATTTCTTTGAAGAGGATGATTTTTAATGCCCCCTAAAAGATATCAAAATGAGTTTTAATTATAAGAAATGAAAAACATGTTCATTATAGAACAGCGTTTTCAACTCTAAATTTCTAATAATTTTTTTTTTTGGGATAAAATAATAGTTTATTTTTGATAAAATAAACAAGTGGCTAATTAAAATTTAAAACTTTCATTCACAGTGCAATAAGAAGTGTATTAAAGCGTATATACACATGGGGAAATCTCACCTAGCACTCAAGGATTTCCCACAGGTATGTATCGTTCAATAGAAGTCCTTCTGTCCTTTCAAGCCTAAAGCTGGATTACACTTATATTTCTCACCTTATTTGACACCTGTCCTTTTATCATGTTTTTTTTTTTTTGCTTCACTTTCAGTCCAGGATTTGCTATCGAAAGATTTTGGAGATAGAGCCACAGCGGGAGACCATGGTCAAAGGTATGATTAAAAAATGCTGTGAAGATCTGAGGCAAGGCAAAGTCAATATTTTGGACTTTAGATCCATTCTTTAGCAGCAGAAGTAGGACTAACGTTGTTATTAGCTTTTAGCATCTGCCTGAATATGTAGTTGCTGTCAAGCATCTCTCAGCAGTACCAGAATAAACTGCGTTCATTTGTAGTTTTTACACGATTCTCTCTCTACATTTTCTTGTAGAAAGCGTCACATGCTTACACCAGCAGTTTTTAGAACATTAGTTTGCTCATTTACATTCATTTTGAACTTTTCCAGAGGAGTAATGGCATTATGGATTTCCGTTCTATGCATTTTAATAGAGTATTTCCACATGAATTTGCAAAAAAAGATATATGTTCATGGAGCAGTCACAATACATTACATTGAAATAGCTTATCTGAGACAAGTGGATTTGGAAGAGAAGGTGGCTCTCCAGGAAAAGGCAGCTTGGGAAGAGTTACAAGCGGGAACGGGACAGGCCATGGCAGTACCAGAGCTGCTGAAGAAGCTCGACAGACCCAATGAGATCCATCTTTACTACTGTGGTGGATTGGAGCTGCTCTCACAGGCTATTAAAGACTGTAAGTTCACATGATTAATTCAGAGTCCTTTTTTAATAGATCCTGCTGTTGTTTCTTGTTTATTTAATTAATTATCACTAAACTCCTGCAGTTTTTTGGTAGGACGAACACATTTTTAAGGCATTGTTGAACCTCAGATTTGTCTGAAATATGCCTTCGGTTTACCCAGTGTTGTTCCAGCAACCAGGGCGATATTTCTTGCACTCGGGATCGATACGGAGAGGAGAGCAGTGAGGAATTTTGTGCGGAGGGCTCATTGATTCTGCTCTGCAGTTCATTTGCAGTTCATGATGAGGAAACTAATCCTCATGATCAGCCACAGAGGACAGACACAGTCCTATCACAAGCACACGCGCAAGCTTTTTAGACTTTGTTAGTGAACGCGTGAATTACCTGTCAGTTTTTGTCTGCTCGATTCTGATCTTTTGTCAAAATATCACTGCACAGATCATATATTTAGATTGTGACAAAATATACTATATATAAGGGAAACCAGGGCTACTTGTCACACCTCACAAAAGAAGAGAATATTGAAGTGAATATTTTTCAATTATATTTAAGTTACATTTAAAAC